TTTTGTTGGATGCTATCTGTAACTTTATGTGTGGTCTGATGGTGATTTGATTCTGTGGTAGTCTAATATAAATGTAGTATGTCACTGAGCTAGTAATCTCTGTGTGTGGCTCAGGCGGAGCACTAGTAGATGTTGGAGAATCCATGAAGAGAATGGCAGAAGTGAAAGACTCCCTAGATATCGATGTCAAACAGAACTTCATTGACCCGTTGCAAGGGCTCTGTGACAAAGACCTCAGAGAGATACAGGTATAATAATAACAACATACATTCTTCATATTGTCAGATTGAATTTAATGGCAAGATAGTGATGAATTTTCTGCCTCCTCCTCTTACCATGTCAGCATCACCTGAAGAAGCTGGAAGGACGCCGCTTGGACTACGATTACAAGAAAAAACGTCAGGGCAAGATTCCAGACGAGGAGTTGCGGCAGTCCTTAGAGAAGTTTCACGAGTCAAAGGAAGTGGCTGAGACGAGCATGTACAACCTGCTGGAGACTGACGTGAGGACTGATTTAATACCGTTTAGTTTGTTGTGTTGAGTCTTTCCTGAATCATTATTTTAAACTTGATTCTTCCTCTATGCAATCCATCGTTAAATAATAATACGTTTATTTATTATACCACCTTTCACATAAATAGATTTCACAAAGTGCTTCACAAGTGAAAAAAGTTCATATTAAGTCCACAGAAACATGAATACAATAATCACATGAGGCATACATTTAAGGTCAACATAAAAACAAAACACAGACCACGTGGAGTCCTGAAAGGAACAAGCATAATAACAGAGCGCATCACACACATTTCAAATAGAAATAAAAGCCAATGTAAAAAAGTATAAAGTACAACGAGGGGTTATTGTGTTAGCCCTTTCCTCAGATAAGAACATAACTTCTGATGGGTGAAAGCCAGTCATACTTAACACAGCATTTGGTACATTTAACCCACTTTGAACACTGTGAGAAAAAAACATTTCCACTCTTCAGAGAAACCGTTGAAACATCTAATCTGTAGCTTTATTGTTTAGCTATCAATGAGTCTCACTTTTACTGTTAGTCAATACTAGGGGTGCCAGCGATTATTCGAACATTCGTTAGTCACCATAATCGAAAATAATTTTTAAAATTCGATTTTTTTTTCCTGGTTTAGTTTCAACCAAAATATAGACTAATGCTAATAATAGTATTAATAATTGTAAATGGCCATTGATCACACCACCAGTTTGTTTTACTGTAAACTTGGAGGAACCCAGCAGCCCTTCGCTGCGCTGCTACACAACGACCCCTCCCCTCTCCATCACACGTGCGATTGATTTATTGGAGTAAGAACACAACTACAGATGAACAAAGGAAAGAAGAGTTCCTCGTGGAACTACTTCAAAGAGACAAGTGCAAATGAGGTCAAATGCAAGAGTTTTTTTTCTTTCTCTCCCGCCGGGGGGGTGCGGTCGTGGAATAATAGATTATTATTCGCCAGGGCTGTCCGCTTTTCGATTTTGATCATGGTCAGTTTCTGGCATACCTAGTCAATACACACCCATACAACAAACACATGCTATTAGTTACACCTGTAAAACAATCAAACTGGAGATAATAAAAGTATTCAATAGCTCTAGTTGACATTTAAACCTCATTCAGGGTTAGGAATGAATATTTGTTTGCCATGCACATAAATGCAGGTGTGTGCTGTAGTGAGGAGAACACAAAGAGCTTGTAGCGTGTAGCCGAGTGCAACACTAGTTTACCCTTTTAATATGAACATTATTTTTGGTATCGTGAGGAAGTCTGTCTGTTGTCTACTTCCAGTTTAGGTATATGTTGTTCCCTACGACTATATTCTATATATGTCAAATTTGAGCGTGAATTAGGGCTGCTCGATTATGGCAAAAATCATAATCTCGATTATTTGGGTAAATAATTGATATCACGATTATCCATTTACTTTGAAAACATCCATTTATGAAAAAAAATGTTAAAGGTGTGATAGGTCATTTTGGAGAAACCAGCTCGAGTACAC